AAATTGACGAAGAAGAATTTTGTATATATACAATCAGACATGTTCTTCATTAATATATATCTTATAGATGATTATGCATTTTATACATATATGCTTTTTGTCATTAACTTGAAGTATTGAAATTCAACAATATACATTGCTCAATTTCAATACTTCAAGTTAATGTCAAAAAGCATATATATACGTATAAAATGCATAATCATCTATAAGATGCATTGATTAAGAATATGTCTGACTCTACCGAAAACTTCCTTAAATTAAACAAAATTATTGATTTGTGAAACACGAAATTAATTGCAAAGGCAATCGAAAACTTATCTTCAGCAACCAAAACACCCGATAACGATAGCCGTACTATATAGTTACTATAAATGAGAATGAATGGTTAGAGCGGCAGAACGTCTGTTTCTTATTACTAAAACATTTGATATTATAACCGAGCTATGGTTGACACAAGCTAGACTTTTACCAGAGGCAGCATTGAGATTCGGTTGAGATAACCGAAAACAATTGCCTGAGTAGCGGAAACCTTTCATAGGAATTTTTCTGTTCTTACAACCAAGTTTTCATCTGGTCTCCAGAAAACAGAAAATTTCGGTTGTTGTAACCGAAATTCAATTATACGAACCGAATCTTTTTTTCCTATAGGAAAAAACTTTTATTATATTATTTTTGTTGCTTGTGCACAATATGCACAATGTGCACAATATTTATTATTTCTTTTTATTAAAGTAAAATCCAATTCATTAAATCGATAATTCATTTTTCGTGGTATGTTCGAGACAACAAGTTATTATATTTTAAAATCCAATTTATAAATTTTAAGATACTAATACAAACGTTGAGTTTTAAAATTTTACTTCTACAAATGTCACATGAAGAACTTATGATTTATGACTTCAATACACAATTCAAATTTATTCAGTACACCGCACGATAAAAGCATCTTATGAACAACAGCTAATTAACGTTTTTCCGTAAAAGCTAAAAGGTTCCCGGGGAAAAAAATGTTTCATATATAACACAGGCCTGCATGGTTTTGTTGATTGGGATTTAACTATGTTTTCTTACGTAATTTTTCGCGTTGAATCCGAATCCGGCGGCAGAATTGCTCTATCACGTCAGGTTTTTGAGAAAAGTGAGGTTAAAGGTGTCAAAATTGACGTTTTTTGACATATTTGTGA